ACCCACACACCCTTGGATACCACACGCCCGTGGTACCCACACACCCCAGTTCAATTTAGCTTCTGGGGCCTGCATGATGGCCTTCTTAACATCATTCACCCATTATTCATTCATAAATTTATCGCATGCCTTGCCATTGACACTGAGAGCACAGCGGTGGGAGGAAAGGCACACGAAGTCTGCCTAGCCAGCCCTTGACCTGACAGGTTTCGATGACAGCAGTATTCTGTCAACCAGCCGCTGGGGAGTGAGGGAAGTGGGCAAGGGAAAGGTCCTCATGGGATGTCAACATAACTGCACTCCAGGCTACCATGTCTGGTTAGACACTGCTTCTCATCATGTATGAGGATTTCTGCAGCAGACTGGCATTGATTGGCAAACCGAGAAAAGCAGACTCCCTCCCCACCCCCCATAGGCCTAACCCTGTTTGTTAAGGGCCAAGAAGAGGTTCACTTCTGCATGACAGCCAGGGTGGTCTTCTGCCCACTGGGCTTCAGGTTCAGCCTTGAATCCGAATCTACCCATCATTCTCTGTTGTGCTCTCCCACCAGCCTCCCTTGGTCTCCTGCAGATGGTACAGCCCTTAACTTCCCCAATCACATGAGCAATTTCTTATCTGTCTCATTGTGTATGTGTGCACATGTATATCTCATTGGTCCTATCTTTCAAACTAATACGAAGGGGAAGAACAACTTCTGTTACTAATATGTGGGATTTTCCATTCACAATAAGCAGTTCTTAGACTCTTTAGATACTAACTATATAAGCTTCAATGTAATTTTGACTCTACCTGGGGTAAAGGTCTACCTGATAGACTATGGGCTGAGTCTCATAAGACCATGCTCATTTCAGACACCCATTGAGTCCTGAGTAGTCTGCACTTAAAAAAAAGTTAAATTTATGTTATGGGTCTAAGTGTGCTGCTTACATGTATGTATGCATATGTGCATGCCTTGTGCCAAAGCAGGTCAAAATGGGGTGTCACATCCCTTGGGACTAAAGCTGGAGTTATAGATGGTAGTGAGGTACTGGGAACAAAGCCAGAGCCTCCTCTAAAAAGCAGCAGCAAGTGCTCTTAACTGCTGAGCCAATTCCCAGTCCCTCTTCTGCATTTCTGAACAATGGCTAGAGATCAGGTTTCCCACAGCCTCTTCCTCAGGTCTCATACATAATTGACCATAATGGCTCACATGATTCAGTAAGACATTTACATACGCTTATCAATTCATTATAAAACAATTACAAAAGACTCAGCCGAAGAGGAATATGGGAGAAGCACAGAGCTGACAGACCTCAGCCGCACCCTGCTGCGTGCTGGCAGCTTACTAATGAGTGAGACTATAGGAGTAATCCTTCTGATCATTTCCACTTAAGGAACATCCTGTACATTTATGAATAAGATGATGGTGTGCTGGGCCAAGCCCTGAAAGAGGATGCTTTGGGGTCAGCATTTTGGATGGGCAAAGGAGAGCCTACCCTTGCCCTGCAGCTGCTGTTCTGGGGCCTCAGCCATGACTCCTGGTTCTCAGCAGTATTCCCCTCAAGGAGCCACCTTGTCTCGGTACTTTGACTACACCTCATGGAAAGCCCTAAATTACACAACCCAGCAAGCCTGCTCTGCATTTCTGACCCAGAGGTATGGGGACACTTTCCAGGCTTAAGGGTAATGTGTCACAAAGCCACAGCTAACATTCAAACAGTCTATGTCAGAGGTCAACAGGACAGAAATTCCAGGGCCAACTTCCAAGGTCATGGTATTCACTCTTCATGGATTTTGAATGATCCACCGCCTGTCTTTGATTTCTCCCACTTCACTTTGAAATGTGATTTTAAAAGTTATGCGGAAGAATAGTTTGAACGGTTAGCTGGGGACAGCTTGGGTGAGCTATCTGGGGACAGCTTGGGTGAGCTATCTGGGAACAGCTTGGGTGAGCTATCTAGGGATAGCTTAGGTGGGCTATCTGGGGACAGCCTGAGTGTGTCGCCTGGGGACAGCTTGGATGGGCTGTCTGATTGACGTTCACAGAGTGAACAACAAAGAACAGTTCCAAATTTCTGCCACCACTTACATGGCTTAAGGCCTCTGGCGTGGAAACTGAGACAGTCTCTTCATTCAAGCTCTTACCTTTCTAGACTCCGTACATTCCATCCTATCAGCATCTCTGGGAAACAAATCAAGAAATCTAAGTCATGTTTTTATAATCTGCCAGGCCCTGGTATTGATCTTCTGCACTGGAAGACGGCGTGTGTGTGTGTGTGTGTGTGTGTGTGTGTGTGTGTGTGTGTGTGTGAATAATATGTAGTTGATTCACATATTCAGTGGGTAAAAATGAAAATAATAATAATAGCATGAAGTGATCTCAAAAAACAACTGAACCAAAGGAATGAGGCACAGGAAGGGAAGAATCTGTTCTGTTTCCATCCAGAGGCAGTTTAAGAACAGGAAACCTATGTTCTGGTGATGAGTCAGGAGACTTCTAGGCTTATTTTAGAGAGGGCCTCTCAGTTTACTAAAAGGAGGAGATAAGGTGAAGGAAGGTTTATGAATCTTGATATAATCACAGAGGAGACTATGTTTTCAGAATTTACTAGTTAATAAACATATGTTCATTTCAATAGATGTATATAAAGACAATGCAAAATAGTGTTCAATTCCAAAATCAAAACACATTTTAAAACCGAGCTTTCAGAACACACGAGTGAAGCAAAGCCACTATTTCCAAGTACTCTGAGCAATTGCCCTTGAGAAGGGCAAGCTGCTGGCACCTGAGTGGGGTTCGTTCTTCTGCCTCACTCTTCTGGCCAAGCCAACCGGCAGGCTGCACAAGAAGGGGCCCTCGAGGTTAGGAAAGACCCAGCAGGGTCCAACAGAGGACAATAACCTCAGTGGCCTGCAGAAGTCGGCCCATTCCAGCGTGACTCATCGTCCAGGAATCCTGGGAGGCCACCAGAGGACTTAGGCACAGAAGGGAAACTCAAGAGGGAACACATGAGAACTGAAGCCCTCCCAGTTTCAGCCTGAGGCAGCTCAAGGGACACCTATGCTGCAGCTATGACAGAGGGGGTGGCCATGTAAGCACCAGAGGCCTGGGGAGCGAGTGAAAGCCAGTGTGGTGTCCTAAAAACGACTACTCTGAAGAGAAAAGGCCACTGGCTCACAGGCCATGAGCATTCCTAAGCAAGTTAAAGACCTTTCTGTGGTCCCTTGGGTCTAGGAACCATACTCCTTGGCAAGCCTTACCGCTGGCTGGCTAAATGAAATAACCGTAACTCAGAAAGGGGTCTAGGAAGCAAGCTGAGTCTACTTGCTCACTGTTTCCATTGTCCTCACTACTTTCCTTGGTGTCTGCAACTTTCTTATCTCTAAACTCTCCCCTGAAAGAATCCCTTCAAACCCTTACACTCGCTAGCAAACTTGTACCCACACCTTTCCCTGGAGACAACTTGCTGAAGTGGCATTTTATCCACATTTTAATAAATAAAGACCGCCTTAAGATCAGAAAGTAAAACAGCCCCACTGGTCAGTCTTATAGACCAGGCAGTGGTAACACACACCTTTAATCCCAGTAGATGCACTAGTTACCATAGAAACTGGGAGGTGCATGCATTTAATCCCAGCCCTGGAGAGAATTATAAAATGTGAGGAGACAGCTCTCAGATACAGTCTCATTCTGAGATCCCTGGAGGCAGAATCGCCATTTTGGACTGAGGTTGAGGTAAGAGCTATTGGCTGGCTGTTATGCCTTTTTGGTCTTCAGATTGAACCCCAGTATCAGTCTCTGGGTTTTTATTAATCGTGCATCAGCTTGCACCTGCCCAGTTGAGTGGCTCTATACCTGCCACCTGCTGCCAACTAAGATTTCCGCAGCTGAGAGCCCCACATCCAGCAGTCGCTTGGCTCATGCAGCCTGAAACAAGTGGGTGCCTACAAAGAAGGTCCCCAGCTCTTGGGTCCTATTTTCCCCTTTTCCTCAAGCATTTGCTGACTGTGGAGTTCATTCTCCAGTATTTTTCTGAAAAAGATTCAAAGGATGCCAGACGCTTTAAACTTGCATCTCTGAAATGCCTTGGATCTACCCCTTCTTGCTTACTAAGAAACAGGGCATGAGGTCATTTTCCATCTGGGTGTTAAGGGGAGGCGGTGAGAAGTCTGGGCCATTCCTGTCCTTGCTCTCTTTAATCTCTGGGACATCTCAGGATCTTTTTTTCAGCTCCATGGTGCAAAAGTTTCACACAGCATCCAGGAGCAACTTTTTAAATATTTCTCTGAAAATACCTTACCTTTTTTATATTCTCTTTCTGGAACCCCTGACTATCGGTGTTGGGCTTTTTAAATTCTAGTATCTTCCTTTTTCTATTTCTTAACTTTTAAACTGACTTTCTGGAGGGTTTAATTTTATCCTCTAAAATCTGTTACACTTAACATCAGAAACTTTCTGCTATACTTAACATCAGGAAGTAATGTGATCTTCTCTGCACGGCTTTGTACCACACCTTCCTCTTCCCCCACTTCTCTGCTTACCCACGTGAAGCTATTAACCAGGGGTGTTCACGTGTTTATTGCTAAGATTTTTTTTTTCTGCTCCCAGCCCAGCTGCTGCTTTTCGCGTGTTTGTTTATATCCATCAAGATCTATACATTCAGCGTGCATGGCTGATGTCTCATGCCTGTCTGCTCACATTTAAAAGCAAAAGCTACGCGCGCGGCAACACCTGCCTGCAATATCAGTTCTCTCTTGACGTTTCCGATCAGCCTAGGCTACGTAGCAAGAGCACACCTCAAAATAAACTGGGCAGTGGAGGTATATTCCTTTAATCCCAGCATTTGAGAGGCTGAGGCAGGTGGATCTCTGTGAGTTTGAGGGACTTCTGGACTTCTAAGAGAGACTCCAAAGCTATACAGAGAAACCCTGTCTCAAAAAAAAAAAAAAAAAAAAAAAGTCAAATAGACAAAGGAAAAGAGAGGCTGGAACACAGTCCCGAGGGTGAGCTGGGCAGTTTCACTGCATCAGATTCCTCTTGCTTGGCTTACAGGCAGCTTCCCCTGCGGGGCTCAGCTGCCCTAACCAAGGACATAAAAGTTCAGCTGCTGGAGATTCTCACTCCTCCTCACCCCAGCCCCGCCCGCCCCCTCTCCGTCTCCGAGCGCGCCATGGGCGGGGACCCCGGGCTCACCGCTGGGAGGTCAGAGGCCGAGGGGGCGGAGCCGGTCGCCATGCTGACGCTCGGCGCGCTGCGGGCCACCGTCCTGGTCTACGCGGTGGGCGCCGCCGTGCTGTTGGCGCAGTTGCTGCGCCGCCTGCGCGGGGGCTTCCAGGAGCCGGCGCTGCCCGCACAGCCCGACCGCGTGGCCATCGTGACGGGCGGGACCGACGGCATCGGGCTGGCCACGGCGCGGCGGCTGGCCTGGCTGGGCATGTGCGTGGTCATAGCCGGGAACAACGCGGCGAAGGCGAACGACGTCGTCTCCCGGATCCGCGAGGAGACGAAGAACGAGAAGGTGCACTTCCTGTTCTGCGACCTGGCCTCCCTCCGCTCCGTCCGGAAGTTCGCCCGCGACTTCCTGTCGCGCGGCCTCCCGCTGCACGTGCTGGTCAACAACGCCGGCGTCATGATGGTGCCCCCCGGCCGCACCGAGGACGGCTTTGAGCACCACTTCGGCGTCAACTTCCTGGGCCACTTCCTGCTGACGCACCTGCTGCTGGGCGCGCTGACGTCAGCGGGGTCGCCGGGTCAGAGGTCCAGGGTGGTCACCGTGGCGTCGGCCACGCACTACGTGGGGGAGCTGGACCCGGCGGACCCGCAGGACTGGAAGTCGCCCTACTCGGCGCACGCGGCCTACGCGCGGAGCAAGCTGGCGCTTGTCCTGTTCTCGCAGCGGCTGCAGCGGCTGCTGGCGGCGCGCGGCGACCCCGTGACCGCCAACCTGGTCGACCCGGGAGTCGTGGACACGGCGCTCTTCCGCCACGTGTGGTGGGGCACACGGGCCGTGCAGCGGGTGCTCGGCTGGCTGCTCTTCAAGACCCCCGACGAGGGCGCCTGGACTTCCGTCTACGCCGCCGCCGCCCCGGAGCTGGAAGGGGTTGGCGGCCGCTACCTCTACAACGAGGCCGAGACTGAGCCGCTGGGCCTTGCGCGGGATGTGGAGCTGCAGGCCCGGTTGTGGGCGGAGAGCTGCCGGCTGGCGGGGATCCCCGACGGGACGGGCTTCGGCGTGGAGTAGGCCCGCGCCCGCGATGGCACCACGGACTCTGCACCAAGCACCTACATGGACCTGATGCTGTGATGCTGTGGGCGTGTGACATCATTGCCCACTGCCGCCTCTCCCCCCAGGCTCCCATGTGGCCCCCCAACCAGGCAGTGGGGCACCATAAAGGACTCTGCACCAAGGGAAAAAAAATAATAATTCAGCTGCCAATTGATTTCCTTCACAGACATGCAATAAATCTCTTACTCAACCCTTGCTCTAACATCTATATTCTCCCTTGTTTCAGACAACCAGACTTCCTGGTTCCAACTGTGGTTTCGACTTTGTCTGCCTCGTAACGTTGGTTTTAAAACTAACCCACCTCTTCATTTCTCGAATTCCACATAGTTTCATACCTATCCTTATGACCACATGCCTTGTTAGCTGTATACAATCACTTTACTGTCAAACTTTGTATAATCTTGGAAGGAATGGTCATGAACACGAATTGACACTGCGGTTTTTAATCTTGACCTCACCTCTTTCCCACCTGTGTTTCTTGCTGAATCTGGGCTAGGCTGAGGTGAGGACTCTGACACTCAGTCCAGTCTTCTGGCCAGTGGAAACCCTGACACAGGTTAGGAGCTCTCTGAGCATGGACACCGAATGCAGGTCAGTGGTGTTTACCACTCCCCAGGCTTTGTGTTCCTCTGAAACATTTTACATCTCCCCATTCATCTGCTTCTTTTCCTTTGGGGAACACAGGGCTGTTCCTAGCTTGAGTTTCAAAATCTGCATCTTTAGTAAAACTAAAAATCCTCACAACAAAGAAAACACCCTAGACAAACACTGTAACAAATTTGTTAAGCAAACCATGCCTCTAAAAGCAGAATGACCTGAAAGAAGGCTACTCTTACCCCTCAAGAGAAAGCAAAGCCCTATGGGAAGAAAAACCATTAGCTAGTGTGTCGAGACAATTGGGAGCATTTTACAGACTGGGGATAGACCCAGGGCCATGTGTGTACAGGGTTCCAGCATTCCTGCTGGGTCGCTGCAGTTTCTTCAGGAACAGAAGCTTTCCTTTGCAGTTGTGAATGAAAAGTACCCAGAGAAAGACAGGACTCAAAGGAATATAGGTTATGAGGAGACAGGAAGTGCCCGTGCTGGGGTTCATCATGAACAAATGATCCCTCGCACTTCGTAAGCTTCTTGATGCCAATACACAATCCTAAGAAATCCTCAAATTCCCTAAGGTTACGTTTCATCACCTAAAATGGAAATTTAGAATTAAAGCATTTGGCTATAAACATGTTTCCTCAATCTCTTGATCAATTCTTTCATCTTACTTACTCTTCTGTTTTGAGACAGGGTCTCACTATGTAGCTCAGGCTAGCCTGGAATTCACTATACAGACCAGGCTAGCCTCAAACTCAACCGCATGGTGATCCTTCTGCCTCTGTCTCCCTAGTGCTGGCTTACAGATTTGAGCTATCATACTGCCTCCTTCGGAAGGAACAGATATGCTATTGAAACAATTAGCATGGGAAAATGCCAATGCTCCTTGTCAAGATCTTATTCGACCTCTAAGAAAGACAGGGACAATAAATGATTTTATTAAAGCATGTATGGATGCCTCACCAGACATAGTCCTAGAGATGGCCTATGCTGAAGGAATGAAGGGATAGAAA